TTCAAATATTATTATACCAAATTTTATTTGAATATTCTAAATTATTAAAAAAATAGATCAGTAGCATATTTATAGTACCAACATAGACAAATTTGCCTGCATTAGTCTACAATCTAAGGGATAAACCTTTGTTAAACATCTTGCAACTATAATAATAGTAGTGTTAATACAAACCTTTTTTTACTATTTACTGAATATAACAATAACCAATTTTTTAATTATAGTGATAACCTTTCATTATTTGATGATGATAACCCTTCACTATTATTTAAAGATAGCAATAATTCTTTATTATTTGAAGATAATGATAATTTTAACACAAGCAGTTCATTGCTTACTGAAAATGACAATAATCCCAATATTAGTTATTAATATAACCTTAACATAGGAAATTATTTCAATGATTGGTCATCTGTTGATAGGTTTATGTATAATTATTGCTTAGAGTGGGGTTTTGAATACCAAATTTTCTATAATGATAAAGATCCAAATGATTCAAGTATTACTTGTCACAAGTCTTTTCGATATTTATTAAGTAATACCTACAAACCTAGGAAGATAATTGATCAAAATTTATATCATATATGAGGCACCACAAAGGCAGAATGTGAATGGTATTACAACTTTACATTTTCAAAAACTATGCATAAAGTAAAATATATAATACTAAAAAGTATATATAATCACAAATTAAATCTTGCCCAAATATGTGACATTATTGCTAGATACTGATGTTTTAATAAAGAGATGATACAAGACATTAAATTTTTTTCAGATTGTAAAGTAGCACCTATTACTCAATTGGAGATGCTTAAAATAAAATATCTTTAACATGTTTTCTATAAGCAAGACGTATATAATGCAATTTATAAATTACGTAAAAATAACAATAAGAGGCTTGATTTTGTTTCATTTTTTAATATTCTTTTTGAAAAAATATCACAAGATCCATGCTGGAAGGTATTTGTTCAATATTCTGGTACTAAACATCGCTTATCAGGTATTTTTTAAATATTAGCTTTTTAACAAGAATTATACCAGCGTTTTTCAAACATAGTACTTAACAATAATATATATAAGACCAATAAATTTAACATGTATCTTAGTGTTTTTATAGTAAAGGACAATTATGAAAAATTTTAGAATGTGGCAAATACATTGGTGGAAGATGAACTTTCTTCAACATATGTTTGGATTTTATAGTATTTATCAAAAGCAACAGATAATATAGTTTTATAGTCTTTTTGAACTAATGCTGAGCCTGGTTTAATTAATACAGTATTTCAAGTTTTTCTTAATACATAGCATTTTTATTGTTTATTTTACATCTGGCAAAACATAGTCAAGTATCTTAAAGCATCTCTGGGTTCTAAATTTAACAATTTTAGTCAGGCTTTTTTTTTTTTTTTTTTT